CATTTTGGAACAAATTAAGCAGAGAGACTTGAGCAATTTGGTGAATTCCAAGCAAGAAAGAGAGTTTTCATCACGTGCAAGTCTTTTTTAGAGTTCTTGTGATTCCTTAAGATCTAAGCTTTGACTTGATCTTAAGAAGAATGTTTATCTTACATCGATAAGAAATTCACTTCCTTTTCTTCTAAACGAAGCAAGAATTCTCAAATAGCCTTCACGGTTCAATCTGAATCTGTGATTCAGCGGTCCACGGGCTAATACACCCCCGACACAGGCAAAGATCCTACGCAAGCAACGAACGATAAATGTTCCTGCGTGTGTTTCTAAGGAGTATTGTAATTTGATTTTTTTTTGTTATAAAGAGTAGTTTTACAAAGCACGAAACTTGCTCTTCTGTATTCATTGTAATCGACAAACAATTATAATGAATTCTACAACAAAACTTGTTCCTGACGCAAACATCTTCGTTTCTCTCTCCCTCGATCTCTCGATCTCTCTCTATCTCTCTGATTCTTCAGTCTCTCTCTCCCGATCTCTCTCTGATTCTTCGTCCCTCTCTCCCGATCTCTCTCTCTCTCTGATTCTTCGTCTCTCTCTCCCGATCTCTTGCCCTCTCTCTCTCTGATTCTCACTCGTCTCTCTCTGAATCCGTCTCTTTTTCTCTATATAAAGAATTTACTGTTTTTACATTTTAATTTACTGTTTTATGTTAATTTATTATTAATTAATTAGGGTTCTATTAATTTACTGTTAATTAATTAAGGTTCCATTTTTTGATTTACTATTAATTAGGATTTTAGTTACTGTTTTGCTGTTGTTAATTTTTTAATTTACTATTATTGCTATTGTACTTTAAAAAAATGGAACAAGAAGGGAGTTCTAGTGGTAGTGGAATACAAGATGACACATGTTCGCTTTGAAAATATGTTGCCAAATTAGAGAAAAGGGGGGAATGACAAAAAGAAATTAGAGATGGAGATGTAATTATTACAGAGAGGAGTTTACCGGTTCACACTCAAGAGTTAAAAATCATCTCTCGAGGATAAGCAGGACTAGAATTAAGATGTGTTCCAAGTCAACACCCAAAAACCTAAGGGAGTTTCAAAGGACGTTGGATCAAGCGGAGGCACGATTGAGGGCTTCTAGGCCTAAGACGCCAGTTTTGCTTACATCTTTGATTGCAAGTTTGACCGATGTAAGTACAAGTGCAAGCATGCTGATTCGTGAAAGTGAATCTAAGAGGAGGGGGCCTAATACCGTGGAACAAGCATTCAACATGGGAGAAAGGGAGGAATTAGATGCATTGATTGGTAGGATTTTCTTCATCGAGGGATTGTTCTTAAACTTGACAAGGAATTCATATTATGCCAAGGCTTTTACATATGCCGCAAGCAATCCAATTTTTGGCTACATGCCTCCTGGTTACAATTACATGAGGACCACTATCTTATAACGTGAGAAAACTCACGTAGAGAGATTGATGGAGCCTATCAGGGGCACATGGCAACAGAAAAAGGTCTCCATTTGTAGTGTTAGGTGGGCGGATGCACAAAGGAGGCCCATCATCATTTTATGGCGGTGTGTGAGGGTAAGCCAATGTTCTTGAATGTCGTGAATACCGAGGGAGAAGTTAAATAAATATTTTATCCAAGCGAAGCTAGAAAAGTACATCACAGAGGTGTGACCACAAAATATCATCCAAATCATAATCGATAATGTTTCGGCATGCAAGGCCGCGGGAGGGCTTTGTGGAGGACACCTAGCCTCACATATTTTGGACTCTTAGTGTAGTCCATACACTCAATCTTGCTATCAAGAATATTTGTGCGGTTAAGAACACGGAAGTAAATGTCGTGGCTTATGCACAATTATAATGGATTACAGAGATCTTCGATGATGCATTGCTTATGAAGAATTTTATCATGAACCACTCTATGTGGCTTGCCATGTTCAATGATTATTCCAAGATGAAGCTTCTATCGATTGCCAACACATGATTTGCCTCGTGGATTATTATGTTGAAGAGGTTTAAGGTCGTCAAGAGAGACCTCCAAGACATGGTCCTTAGTGATCGATGGAGCTTGTATAGAGAATATGATGTGGGGAAAGCTCAATTTGTGAAAGAGAAAGTCCTTGATGATTTGTGGTGGGACAATATAGATTTTATTCTTAACTTCACTGGCCCAATCTGTGAAATGATAAATGTCAGTGACACCGATACACCATGTCTTCATTTGGTGTATGATATGTGGGATACAATGATTGAGAAGATGAAACAAGCTATTTATAGGCATAAGGGTAAAAGGGATAACGAGGAATCTCCTTTTTATGAGGTGGTTCACAAGATCTTAGAGGATTGATGGAGCAAGAGCAACACCTCGCTTCAGTGCTTGGCATACTCTTTAGTTCCATGGTAATATTTTACATGTCACTCTTTAGTGCGAATATTTCTATTAATCAATACATTGTGAGCTAATTTATGTTATTAACGAATATAGGTACTATCATTCCACATGGCTCAATGAGAACGTCAATCGGTAAGCTCCAAATCAAGGTCTTGAGATCTCTACGGAAAGAGCAAAGTGCTTAAGAAGATACTATCTTAACCCCGATGAATGACGGGTGGTGAACTTGGAATATGCTAAGTTTGTGGAGGCTTTGGAGGCTTTTAGTGATCCGGATTCTCTTTCTGATAGAGGACATATGGATCCGAAGTCATGGTGACTTCTTTATGGTCCAAATACTCAAAATTTGCAAGCATTGGCCGTAAAACTTCTAGGCCAACCTTGTTCCTCCTCTTGTTGTGAACGGAATTGGAGTATGTGGGGAATCAAGAATGTGGGATGTTGGTGGAGATACCTTCGACTCATTTCAAGGTGCCGACATTTTAGATGTTGCTGCTCTTTCTCTTGACGAGCCCACGATGGAGGCCGTTGTGTTTGAAGAGGATGAAGGAGTTGAAGCCATAGAACAATCTTTTTGATGTTTCAACTTGAAAACTTTATTTTAAGATACGCTTTTGGTTGTAATTTTTATATTTTTGTAATGTTAGTAACTTAGTATTTTGTAGTCATGGAACTAGTTGCAACTTGAACTTTATTCTCTTGTATTTTTATATGCTCAAGATGAAAGTAATAAAAATTAAAATTTGGTATTATCTTCAAATCAGTTACATAACTCACATTTATCATTAATTATACAAGCCAAGGTTACATAATAATATAACATAAAAATTGATCTATTTTTCTATATGTTAGTCTTCTCTTTCTTGTATTTTTTAATATTATTATCTTTAATTCTCCAAGAGATCATTGCCATCCTGACGTCTTAATTCACACCTACAACATACACTTTCTGTTAGTTTCTTATTTATAATCTCCACTTTACATAACAAAAAATATGAAAATGTAATAGGAATTTAATAATATTAAAAAAATCTAGCCGTGTCGCCGTGTCCTATTTTTTGGGTTTTGCCATGTCCGTGTCGTATCCGTGTCGTCGTGTCCGTGCTCCATAGATTGCACTCATACCTAATTTGCACTTAAAGATAAATCATAATAATCAATTAGGTAATCAACAATTCTAATAACATAGTGATCTCTCCTTTTTTTTTGTGTTAGTGGAGAGGATTTGAATCCTCCAAGAAATTCCACATCAGCCCAAGAGATATACATTTTCAATTATGTTAATTGGTTGACAACAGAAAGGAAACTTCATCCCTAGAACTGACAAAAGTGTACGAAATGGGAAAACCCATTTCCGAGATTTTAGGGCTTTTTTCTTGGAATTCAATTTCCCCCCTTTCTGGAAAATCAACCAAATAGGCCCTTAGCTGAAAAGTTGACATATTTATTATACTTTCACTGTTGTATTTTGATTGAGGATTTTGTTTTTTGCAGGTAATTAGTGTCATTTCAGTTAAAAGTATGCTTTTTTCTTTCCTTTCAAGATTTTATCAGACACTTTTATTCCGGTGTATTTGTTTCTTAGTTTTCGTTGAAGAAATTGAAATGGTTAGCATCATGGGTCACGGTAAAAGCTTAATTGATATAACTAAAAATAGTGATGTGGAAGACTTCAATATTTATACCCATTGTGGATAATTCTGTTTTTAGAAAATAAAGATTTTGTTATTGCATACTGATAGAGGATTCTGTGTTGGAAGCTGATTATCGTTGTTTCAGTATTTAAAAAAAAAGTGTTTTCTTTCTCTTTGCAATATGATTTTTTTCTACTTATCTATGAACTTTGTTTTTAGCTTAGCTGAAGAATTTGACATTTAGAACATTCTTTCCTTATTATATATTGATCAAGAGCTTTGAATTAGAAAGCTAATTGGCGTTCTTTCAATTAGAAAACTAATATGGTTAGCATATAGGAGCACACTGAAAGCTAAATACCTAGGTTTAATATGATAAAAGTTATTTTAGAAATCTGTAATAACTATACCAATGAGAATTATTTTATTCCTGTGTCTCAAAATTCTGATACTTTATTTTCAGTAGGAACGAAAAAAAAACGTTATTAATAAGTTTTTATATTTTGGTTTTTGGCCCCCCCCCCCCCCAAAAAAAAAGCAGAAAAAAATTCCTTGTGTAATTGTAATTAACACAAGTAATTGAACCTTTTTTTAATATGCATTTTTGAGCTTTTCTTTTGTATTTTTTACTGGATGCTTTGTTTTTAGTATGGGTGAAGAAATTTGAAATGGTTTTCTCAAAAAATAAATTGAAATGGTTAGTATTAGGGTCACAATGAAATCCTAAAACATAGGCTTGATATCATGAAAATTGATCTCAGGAAAACTTCAATAATTATACCTGTATTCTGTTCATGTCTCTTGAAAATGCAGTAACTTCTTGCTGAAAAAGACGTATAAATACCTTTCTTAATTGTGTTCTTCTGCTTCATTGTGCCTCGTTTTTTCCTGCAATTATTACTCTATGCTACTCTATAACAGAACTGGATGTTACAGTTATTTGATTGTTGAGCGTTTGTTGCAGGTTCCCAAGTACCCATCAAAACTGTTTTTCTTTTGCGAGGAGGAACCAAGAAGTGGAGGGGAAACTCCTATAGTTCTAAGCCATTATGTTTATGAGAGGATGAAGGAAAAACACCTAGAATTTGTGGAGAAGCTTGAAAAGCTTGGCTTGATCTATACGAGAATATTGGGGGAAGGAGATGACCCTTCTTCTCCTATTGGCCGTGGCTGGCAATCGACATTTTTAACAAAAGATAAGAGTACAGCAGAGGAAAGGTTCGATAATCTTGTCTTCTAATTATGATGTTAAACAAAGTAGAATTTTGGTCTATGCCTGTTATATTTAGAGATTGTTTGGTTTGCTACAACTCTAGGGGTTACAACTACAAATGCATGAGACTGGGTCATTTTGGGCCTGTTACAACTTTTTGTTTCATTGCAACTGATAAATATAGTTTCAATTCAGTTGCGAAAAGACCTCTGATTGCAGTCGACAACTTACAAAGGTCTAACTGTAAGTTGTGATTTCAATCTGTTTGGACTACAAATGAGGCTTAAGTTGCAATATACTTATCAACAATACACAATTGAAATCCAAGTAACTTGATAGCTCAAAATACACATGCAACTACGATTTTAACTAAAACTGAACCAAGTAACTACAACCGCAACTACATTCGACATCAACTGCATGGAACTAGTACTTGCATTGGAATTCCAATTACAACGAATTAATCAGACAAAATTTCCATTTTTGTTTTGAATCAACATAAAGGAATTGCATTAACTTTTGCTGAACATGCAGCCTACATACTCATCTATTTCTATTTCTGACAGTGCATAGGTTTACAAAGAAGAAAGAAGACATACTAGCTGTTTATTATTAATTGTATAGCTAAAACATCTGTAGGGCTTTCTGTTGGTAGGGAACATGTATAAATGAATGATACTATTCCCGGGTTGTCGGTATGTAGACTAATGGTGCACTGACATGCTTGAGACAATAATGGTCTAAAATCTGAAGTTATTAATTAGGAAGAGTTTGAACAACAAACGAAGATTCGGAGTAGGGAACTATTTTTATATTTAGTATGCTAATAATTCACAAGAGGGCCATTTTTAACACAATGTTGAGCCTAGACAACATTAAACCTACCCTAATTTTTTTTTGTCTTGGGCCTCCTATCTAATGTGTTGATATTACACAAGTCATCATTTAAGTATAATCATATGATGTTAACAAGAACTTTGGCAGACAGATTACATTACGTCAAAGCTCACGTATGCTACTGGTCAAAGATGTATGGCTGTGTATTTGCGTCTGTTTATCTTCATAGATTGTCATGGACTCATGCTGCTTTCAATGATTTCGTTCTTAAGATGTTCATAGCATTAGGTTAGAATATCTGTAATTTTAGCTACATAAGCACTGATTGCTTTGATATCTGTTCTTTATTTTTACTATGAGTAGATTTCACAAAACTACCATGAGCAGTTAAGGGTTTCACACAAAATACCATGAACTATTTTTATTCGAGAAGATACCATAATCTTTTTCACTAAACTATAATTGTCGACAGCCGTCAGCAATAGTATTTCTCACCTTAACTATAAGGGGTATCTTAGACATTTTAACAATGTCATTAATACTGTAGTTTTCTCTAGTAAGAATAATTTATGGTACTTTTGTGCAAAACCTAATACATCCTTATATTTCAAAATCCACCAGGGCTGCAAAATTGGGTATGAAGTTGGAATGGACAGAAGATGGGGTTAAAACAATAATGGGCCCGATACCAGCCATTAAATACGACGAAAGTAGGGGGAGGAAAATATGGTTTAATAGCATGGTGGCTGCTTACACTGGCTGGAAAGATGCTAGAAATGATCCCGTGAAGGCTGTAACTTTTGGAGATGGAACACCTTTGCCTCCAGATGTTATAGAAGATTGCTTGAAAATCCTCGAAGAAAAATCAGTTGCCATACCTTGGAAGCAGGGTGATATTCTTCTGTTGGACAATTTGGCTGTTCTTCATTCAAGAAGATCATTTGAACCTCCTAGACGTATTCTCGCTTCACTTTGTGTATAATTGTCTACTAAATGAGTAAACGCGAGCTGGTTCGCCACTCCACAGTGTTGGCTAGCCATTATCGACATATCCAAGCCATCGGCTATGATCTAGGTATGTTGATGATTTAGGCACCACATCATTAACATTCCAGCCAACACTATGGAGAAAGACCAGCCTTCGTTTTACTCTGACTAAATTTTAACTTCAGTTGTAAAATCTGCCTCGTTATGAATCAAAACTCTGAAGAGATGTGTACAAAAAGAAAATAAGATGCGGAGCATACCCGGTCTTATGTTGTTATACCGCAACTAAGAACCTTATGTGCCGAAGATATTTGTAATTTGTATGTCAGTTGTTCTAGGCGTCTGTTTTAAAGAGTTGAGGAATCATGTCTTTCGAAGTGGAGCTATAAACAATGTAAAATCTCTGGTTATTCATTCACTGTGTCCATATATGCTACAAGTTAATAACATGAGAAATGTTCCCATGTGTATATCCAGTTGTGTTGGCATGGACTACTAATACATTCAGCCTGTCTGATACTGGAATGTTAAGTTTGGACAAATAATTGTTCAACTGAATCTATCTCCTGATCTTTCTTAAGGTCTTGCTAGTGTTAGGAGAACATAGGGGAAGATAACAGAAGAGTTTCTCTTGGTATCTAACAATTTGTGATTAATACTTGCTGATTCTTGTTTAATTAGAATTGTTACTTCTACAAGGGCTCTAGAGTAAGCAGTAATTTTGTTCTTCTCGATATATTATCTGAGAACGCAGCATGAGTGTAGCGTACGTTTAATATTTTGTTCTTCTCGATCTATTATTTGGGAATACAGCAAAAGTCTAGTGTCTGTTTTATATGTTTCTGTTTGCATATGTTCTCGATTCTTCTGAACCTTTTGATGGAGTAGGGTGTTTGTGGCAACCATCCTAAGGGGGCTGTTTGGCAACCCACTAAAACTGGGCCAAGTTTAAACCTAGCCCCATTTTGATCTATTTTGTGTTTTGAAAAACCTGGGCCAACTCTAGTTCAGCCTTTTTAGCTCATTTTTAGCCTTCAAAACCAGGCCGAAGTTAAGCCATCGTCACCACCCCAATATGGAGAGAAACAATATTAAAGTCTGACCTTGTTTTTTGTTGTTTGCCAAACAAAGTCTAGCCCGCTTTTAAAGCAAACCAGTTTTGTTTGGGACCAAAAGAAAACTAGTTTAAAGATTAAATTTAGCCTCACGAAACTGAGTCAATATTGGCCCAGTTTTACACAAATTGACTTTTTCTCAGAATAGGGGACGAACCTAACTCCATTTTCAAAAGTTGCTAAACTTGCAAACCGGGAAAAAATATAAAAAAATAAAAGCAAACCTTTACTACACTGAAAAATGAGCATTTAGTCCCAGCAGCAGTTGATGCTTTTAGATGCCATCATCGCCAGCTCACCTTTTCGACATTAGATGGAATTGATAGATAAGTATGCATCTCCGAATGATAGTTATACCGATCATGGCACATTTTTATTAGCCATCCAGTTAGCTTTTTAGTTTCTTTTTCCGTATATCGAGCACTCTATACCAAGAACAACATGGTCAAAATTTTTATTTTAACATACATTAAATGATAAAAGGTTTCAACTCAAAAAATAATAAATCTACATTAAAAGCTGGATAAATGATAAGTGGCTCCTTTTACTGCCCGATTACATTTATGATTTCTGCGACGAGGAGGTTAGTAAAGTAGCGTCAGATAGCTCCTAACAGCTCTTTACAGTTGTTTTTCTCAGTAAATCATATTTTTGTAATGAACATAAATTTATTCAAAGCCAGCCTCATACATGTAGCAAAGCTTTGCCTTCTGCTATGTAAATATTTGATTTCCTACAAAAACAACAAGAGGAAGATCAGTAGTGCACGATAAATTCGAAATTATAACAAGAGTTTGAGGAAAAAAGTTTAGCACTTTACCTGCAGTAAGAATTGGAACCTTAATAACTCTGGATCTCCTTTTTCTCCTCTTGCTTTCTATAGAGAGGGAACAGAAGCATACACGACAAAACATAACATTCTTCCAAATCCTCTATTTGAAAATGTATTGTTCAACCTCTCTTTATTAAAGACAATGAGAATCAAGGGAAGAAATTGAAAAAAGTACAAATTCCACAAAAACACATTAAGGTTACCTCCAAAGGAAGTAAGCCAATAAAGCAAAGAAGTGGATGTTGGGACAAACCTCAGGATTTGGAGCCTATTTATAGGATTTGGAAAAATACTATGCACAATAAAATATTAATATTTTACTATGCTGTGGGGCCCGTCATTTTTGTTTTATTTTCCTTTGTCAAACAAAATGGCTGAGTTGATTTGGAGGTTTGGCTGCATTAGGCACGTATGCCTGACAATCTTCCACTTGAAGATTTGATTGAGTATCAATCATATCTTCACATCTTTCTATCTTGCCATCTTCATGTTGTTTTACGTATCTGACAGACCACAAGAGGATCGACACCAAATAAATTTGTCAGTACTGACTGCTTTTGTCAAAAAATCTGCTAGGTTATTTTTGGTGTGAATTTTCTGCATATCCACTGTTCATTCTTCCACTTTCTCACGAACGAAGTGGTACTGAACTCGAATGTGTTTGGTCTTTGAATGAAAGACTGGATTTCTTACCAAATGCAAAGCACTCTGACTGTCACAAAATAGAGATATCTTCTTTTGTTCATGGCCGAGTTTCTCCAACACCATCTTCAACCACATCGCTTCTTTACTAGCTTGTGTAGCTACTACATATTTTGTTTCTGTTGTTGAAGTAGCCACAACTGACTGTAGTTTTGAAACCCAGCTTACAGCTCCGCCAGCAAGTGCAAACACATAGTCTGTGGTGGATTTTCTATTATCACGATCACGTGCATAATCAGAATCAACATATCCACTGACAATAAAATCAGATCCCACATAACATAATGCAACATTTGAGGTTCCCTGAATGTATCTTAGAGCCCTCTTTACAACATTCCAATACTCTTTATCAGGATTCGCCATGTATCGACTAGCCACTCCCACTGCTTGTGTAATGTCTGGGCTTGTACAAATCATAGCAAACATTAAGAAATCATCGCGAACATTAAGCTTCCCACTGCTGATGCATACGGTACTCGAGACATCTCCATCCTCTCTTCTTTACTGCTAGGACTCATACTGGAGGATAACTTGAAATTAATAGGAAGTGGGATAAAAATTAACTTACAATCTTGCATGTTAAAACGTCGCAAGATTTTCTTCAAATAATTCTTCTGAGAAAGCCAAATCTTCCTATTAACTCTGTCTCTTTAAATTATCATCCCTAGAATCTTGTTTGCGGATCCTAAATCCTTCATTTCAAATTCCCTAGCCAACTGAGCCTTTAATTCTTTGATACGATCTTTGTTGGGGCCTGCAACCAATATGTCGTCAACATACAACAATAAGATAACAAAGTTATTTTCACAAAACCTCTTAAAATATGCACAAGGGTTTGAATTAAGTCTGTTGTATCCAAGGCTCATGATGAATGAATCAAATCTCTTATACCAACACCTCGGCGTCTGCTTTAGACCATATAGAGATTTGTTCAATTTGCAAACCATGTTCTTTTTTTTTCTTCAAAACCTTCTGGTTGGAGCATGTAAATTTCTTCTTCAAGATCTCCATGAAGAAATGTTGTTTTTACATCTAGCTACTCTAGATGTAAGTCAAATATAGTGCTCATAGCCAGGACTATTCGGACTGTTGTAAGTTGAACTACAGGAGAAAATATTATATTAAAATCAATACCTTCTTTTTTGAGCATATCCTTTTACCACCAATCTAGCACGATATCGCTCCACTTGATCATCGCCATTTCGCTTGATCTTGTAGACCAATTTGTTTCCAATGGTCTTTCTTCCTTGTGGCAGTGACACAAGTTTCCAAGTCTTGTTCTAATGGAGAGCTTCAATTTCTTCCTGCATTGCTGCCATCCACAAAGATGCATCTGTGCCATTTATAGCTTCATCCTGCATTGCTGCCATCCACAAAGATGCATCTGTGCCATTTATAGCTTCATGAAAAGTTGATGGCTCTCCATCTTCTGTTAGAAGACAGTATGCAACATTACTCTCCGTAATATACTCCGAGTGTCAAGTTGGTGGTATTCTCTCACGAGTTAACCTTAGTGCTTCTGGAGCCTCGGACTCGACTGGTTCTTGTACATCATGCTCTGGTGTTGCTTCACAAGAATTCAGATTATCTTCTACCTGGACAACTATAGTCTCCATGTCCTTCCTTGAACTGCTTTCTTTTTCATCACTTTGTAGTTGGTTCTCTACAAAGATAATATCTCTCATGATGATCACCTTGCGGGCAGTAGGATCCCACAGGCGATATCCCTTTACTCCATCAGCATACCCTAAGAATATGCATTTTTTGGATTTTGAATCCAACTTTATAATTTCTTGGGCATTGTACAGTACGTACACTGGACTTCCAAATATATGGAGGTTGGAATAATCAGCTGGCTTGTCAGTCCACATCTCCATCACTCATATATTAGTCAAAAGTCAGATAAACTTAGAGAAGTACGATATCCCTAAATCGTATGCGTACCGGAGAGTCCGTCACTCCGAGGTAAGATAGATATACCAGGAATCGATGTTGGGCTAATCCCAATGGTTGGCGCTGTAATATTAATCCTTCGTTAGTCAGACAAAAGATCAGGCAAGATGAAGGGGATCAGATATATACCTATGAATGAATCACTCCCAAAGAATAGTCTCTCGGTTCCCATAGTGGTCTGTTCAGCCTGCATGTCAGCTAATAAGCCAGCATCGGGTTTTGAGAAGCTTGGTACAGGAGCACACCCCCTCTCCTCGAAACCTGCATCATGATAGGCTCCATCCTCAACTGGGTTGGAATAATCAGCTGGCTTGTCAGTCCACATCTCCATCGGCGTCTTCAATTGTATTGCAGTTGATGAAGATCGAATCACCACATAACAGGTGGTTTTTACTACTTCCGCCCAAAAGACTTTATCCAGATTTGCAGTTGCCGACTCGCTCTTGTTCTTTCCAATAGAGTTCTGTTCATCCGCTCCACTACTCTATTTTGTTGAGGAGCATAAGCAATACTGAATTATCTTTTGATACCTTCTTACTTGCAGAATGCTAGGAATTCACTATCTGTGTATTCTCCTCCATTATCTGATCTCAAACACTTGATCTTCTTCTCAGATTCAAGCTCGACCCGCGCTTTACAGGCTTTAAAGACTGAGAACACATCTGCCTTCTTCTTGATAGGATAAACCCAACATCTCCTGGAGTAATCATCAATAAAGGACATAAAGTACTTTGCTCATCCCAAGGATGTAACTGGTGCTTGCCATACATCAGAATGAACCAGTTCCAGAATAGCCTTGCTTCTAGAACTCG